GCATTAGATCACAAGTTATAATCGGCAAAAATTACGCCAATTAGTATAACAAAAATCACGTGATCCAATACTTTTGATCGGGGAGTGTATGTGACCTCACTTCTCGTTAGATCTGAAAAACTAGATGCGGTAAAAGACTTGATACGAAGAAACTTATCTTCACCTATCACATTAAAGATGTCATAAATTTTCCTGGCTGTATCTGTTCTCTTGCGCACCATACCATTATTTGCATTCTTTGAAAGTTTTTCCTTAACTTCTTTGTTCAGCTTTGTATGCGCTGTTTGCGGAGGATTGCTTTGCAAAAGTATAGCTAATCGATCTGATAAGGCTTTTCCAAATCGAAAATAGAAATGAACTAAATCTCTATTAGTTCGATCCCCATTTTTTTCTGCATCATCAATCTCATAATATAATTTGTGGAATTGATTCGAAACTTCTCTCATGTCAGAACTTTCGAGAGGAGCACCAATTAATACTTCACTAGCTAGGCGGATGGACAGCTCACGAATTATGGTTTGTACTTTTGTACCCCTAGTAGCTTTACGCGAATCATCTTTCCTCTTCCTTTTCTTGGGTGCTTTATCGAAAGCAGGTGAAATATAATATCCTTCTTTTTCAAGATCATCAATTGACGGGCATTTGGGGCACAGCTTACTCTTATTACTAATGCATTCAAAATGAGCCTTATGTCTGCATGGTAGTAGTACGAGTGGTTTAGAAACAGAAGCATCAAGCCTTAATAGAAGCACTTTAGAGATTACTTCAGAACATTTATCGCAAGCCTTCTCAAACAGATCGTCATTAAATTCAAAACCCTCTAAAGACAATAATGGATCGCTATCATCATCCTTGCCACATGAGCAATATAATGTTCCTCTCTTATCAATTCCTCTTACACAAGTCCGATGGATCATATCACCACAAACATTTAAAATGAGGGATCTAGGCGGATCTTCTGTTAAAATAGGCTTATCACATTCTTGATATGCTCCATAATCTGGGATAGTTTTATTAGATTTAATCGTCGAAAAGTCTGGCTTTTCACGAAGAATATCCTCTGGGAGGTGTTTCAATATATGTAATGCAAGTGTTTTTAGGGCTCTATTGCGTCCTGGTTATACTTCGTAAATATCTCCGCTTGGGGTAGAAGTGTTTATGTCGCCCTCCATATTGTCAGATAAGTTGCTTTCTTGATTTGGTCCCTTCGGGACCCTTTCCGTACTTTTTTCTCCACCACCACCATCATCATCATCATAATAAACTAGGTCACCTATGTCGTCGTAATCCATAGTAGAAGTCGGGTTTACGCTCCCTTGATTTTCTATGGTAAAGTTTTTTTTGAAAAAAAAGAGCATAAGAATCTTATTATTTTCTCGCTAGTTTTATAGTGTTGCAGGAGTAAGTTAATGCTGGATTTTCATTAGCAATTACGCATCACATTTCGTCATCTATTAATCCCTTGCAAATCAATAAAGATAACGAAGGATTAGCATATAACCCCAAACCCCATATGCGAAATAATGATTGCTGGCAAAGATATCTATACCCGAATATTATTTTGTAAGTATGATAATAGTGTGGCCGGAGACATGACATGCGAAAATAAAGTTGAAAAAATAATGTGAATATATATGCTAATCTTACGTCGCACAGCCCCTATTCATTCGGCAAGATTTTTTTCTGATATCTTTCTGCGCATTTGCCTTAGCGCCTTCAGCCAGGTGATCGGTCCACATGACGAAGTTTTCATCTATGCTTTTATAGATACTACTGGGATTCCAGGTTTATAAGATATCCTGCATATAAGACGATAAGTTCGTTCTCCGTAATACTCACCATCACCCCATTCACCTTTTATTTCATCAAATATACTTCTGTTTACTTTATGGTCTCCATTACACAAAGGACAGAGTGTTGAACCATCAAGATTAAATGTGTCACGACATTTATCACTATCATCTAAAGATAGATAAGGAAACTTCTCTAACACCAACCCAATGATATGTTTTCGCTTCTCTTCGGGATCTTCAGGCAAGATAGAAACCAGAAGTCTGAATCTGTTAGATTTACTAATTTGATCAGAGAAAGATGTGGATGGTATACTTACTTGAGATTTGGGCAAATCGTCTGGACTGATTCCTTTGGAATCACCTGAAGAATCACTAGTAACGTTTTCAGGTCTTGGAGGGACCTCATCTTCTAACTTAACTTCGTTCGCTTCCTCTTTCCCTATCCTAGCTGAGTTTTCGTATGGTGTCCCCCAATTATCTGTCTCGTCGTCAAGACTTCCTGTGAGCATATTTATATAACCATCCACATCGGCTGATAAGGATAAATTTTCTTCAGGTATAGGCAAGATTTTTTTGGAAATTTCGGTCACATGATTTTGTTCCTGACCATTGGTCAGAATGTCACGTGCCTTTTCTGCGACTCGATTAATGATATTTAGTATTTGAGCATCACTTAATTCTGAAATACCTCTTATTCCATATGAAATTCTACAAGCTTTATCGATACCGATTTCCATAACTTCTTTTTTGGTTGCAGGATCGATAATCTTCCTGAATAGCTTATAAATACATCCAGCTCTTTCGGTCTTCTTATACAGATTTGAATTTGAAACATTGGGTAGAGAAGCCTTGATTATGGCGTAAACTTGAGACTTTGCAGTTTTTTCAACTACACCAGTTTTAGAGCAAATTTCTGCAACCTTATTTTGATATGATTCGCTATAATTATACTAGCATACAAGTTCTTTTCGTTTAGCTTTTAACGTTCTACCTTCTGCAACTTTAGCATCGGAAAATAATTGAGCCAAATCTCGACCTTCCTCAGGTACCGTTTCAATCTCTCGAGACTCAAGGATGTTAATTGATGAGGTAAGTGCTCTTTTTTGAATAAATAAGATCACTTCCTGAATTATACCTTGCTCAACTTTCTGATTGTATGGTATTTTTCGGACAATAGGGGTAGGAGAGGTTTCCTGGAATAAAATATGTTTATCTGATCCCTCTAGGGCTTGATCACCTTTTTCTTCGCATAAATAAGATTCGTTATTTTCTGGCTTCAGATTTATGAGAAGATGGGCTGACTCACGCTGAAGCTTTTTCTCCCTATTCCTTTACCTTATTTCATCACTAACCATTTTCTTATGTACCCCATCCAAGAAAACATCCGTCTTTTCATCCTCCAATGACTTCTGACAGCTCACAGGTGTAGAGGGATTGAGGCACTTTTGCTTAGCATTATTGGATTAATCTGCAACGGAGCAAGGTGCATTGACAACCTTCTCAAGAGAAATTAGCTCTTTGTTCTCTTCATTATTGTCTCTTGCCACTGCGTCTTCGGCTAGTTTCACTACTTCAGCCTTTATTTTAGCAATCTCAACGTCACGTCTGGCATTATCAACATCAGTATCCGTCCTACTCTTCTCCAACTCTTTGATTCAGCTCCTAAGTTCCTGCCTGAGCTTCGTATTCTCATCCACAAGTTCGACATTCTTTGCCTCAAGTTCAGCGAACTTCTTTCTAAGTTCAGGAATCTCAGCATTCACAGCCTCAAGCTCAGCTTTCTCTGCCTTGATCTTAGCATACTTAACCTCAAGCTCGGTGAAGTGTTGCCTCAATAAATCTATTTCAGATTACATGCTTACTATATAATATTATTTATACTCTGTATGTTAGTATTCAAAATTGAAAATTTCACGTGACATCCTGACCATTGGTCAGCAACTTTTGCCAAGAAAAAATAAAGTATTTTTTATTAATACATGCTGAAATAAATACAAGATCAGGACGTAGTCTAGGATACATATTATTTTTTAATAATTTTTTTGATCCTAGCCCTCTTGCTAGTTAGGAAACTATCTATACTAACCCGATCCTTCAATAACCCTACAATTATGCCAATTACCCTTTTCACGTTGCTTCGAAGTAATTTGGGATTATCTTTAACTGCGAACTTCGTGAGATTGATCTGATATTCACTACCACTCGTAGAGTATATACCATCAGGAGTATATATGATAAAATGCCACTTTGTGCCTGTAATCACAATACCATATATATAATCAAAATAGTCATTCCCAAAAGCTTGATCCGCAGTCCGCTTCTTCTTATTTGTCTGGAACGCACTTTCAAGCTGAACCAGATTCTAAGAAAAATAAAATGTGTTAATATTGAATCTCTTTTGGCTTTAGCGCTCTAAAAACACAGATCTGTGTAGTAGACGCACCTGCGCATATTCAATCTTAATATTGCATGGCTTCCCTTCAGTAATACAGAGGAGGTCTTCCAAACTTTTGATCGCATAGTCTACTCTGCCCATTGCATCTTCACTGGAAACGTCTTTCTGCAAAACTATGAATATATCTTGAGAGGTGAGTTTCTTGGCGATGGCAATTGATGCATGTAATATAGCTGAAATAAATTCACAGCGCGTTGCCTCGTTAGCATCAATCATGGTCTTCACGTTTAAAAGTTTTAAGATAATGTCCTCCATGCAGTGTTTGAATGCTTTATCATCATCACTAATCTCCTCGAAGACTACAGAGAAAAATAAAGTTAATATAGCTATCTAGTCAGCTTCGAAAAATAATTAATTACCTACCAGGAGTAAATTGCTTAATGTTTGTTATATCTTCCCCATTGACCTTATTTCTACGTAATATTTCCTTCAGGTCGTCGAGAGTTTTAAGCGAGGAATAGTTTCGTAATTTCTGACTGAGGCCTTCGATAAATTTTGCAAGTGTTGTTGCTGATCCTAATGCTAACCCAATACTGCGAAATTTTTCTTCCGTCAACTTAAGGAAGGCAAGACCAGAAATTTTCTCTTTACGAAGTATTTTAATATCATCTTTATCGAGTTTTAAGTTTTTCCTTCCCAAATAATCAATAAGCTCCTCTATATTAAAATCCTTAACCACGTCTGACATTGTTCTAGTGGAAATTTTTTCTGTTATTGAGGCGGGTGAAGCGGGTAAAGAAGCTTGTGAAGACATAATTTTTATATATGTAGGTTTGTGCTTGCGAAAAAAATATACACTTGACTGCAATTACAGGTAAAGCTAGTTTATGGATATAAAAGTATTTTTAGTTTTCAGTGTAAAGCGTTCGGGAGAAATGATAGATTTTTTTGTATCGATTCATAATGCATTTGCTCAATATATATGCAATTAAGATGTAGTACAGGATTGTTAGGCGATTATATTACATCACTACACGTGACATTTTTCAAGATTTACGACAAGAACGTAATATATGCTTTATTTAAAAAATAAAAAAAACCTTGCCAGAAGGGTCCCAGAGGGACCAAGCCGGCCTACAATACATAAAATTGCGACTATATCGCTATTACATGATACAGAAAATTATTTGGGATATACAGTGATATGGAAGTGCTCTGCTTTAGGCTCCTCATCAAAAGAAAAAATCTCAGAAAACTGATCGTACCCGTCCATTTCCTTTTCAATACCGCTTCCAGCTTGAATTATACAAAATTTGAAAGGGATTTTATTAAATGGTGCTCCAATCTGCTTTGAATTTCAGCCTTGAGTTCGCTAGGACCATCATATTTGCGAACTACAATTGCTTGTATTACATTAATACCTGGAATATTCATAAGTTTTCCTATAGGAATGATAAGACAATTGAGAGTGATGATGTCATCGGCCATTTTCGATTCCTAAATACAAGAGCTATAGTGAGAAAACCGCTCCCATACATATATAATCTATGGTATATACATACCTTGTTTTGCATCATGTTTCTAGGAAAGTTTTTGGCGGAAAGTTGGATGAACTTCCACATGCTCCTACATGCTTTATATCTGGTTAGAAAAAGGCACCAAGCCGAAGTTAAGGAGGTATGAGGCATAATTAGTATTGTTGTCTGGTGTCAAGAGTTCTATGGCTGAAAACGCTAAAGCAAAAGCACATGTAAACGGAATTCTCATACCTTTTCACATGTAGATCTATCGGAGAGACGCAAAGGTAGTTAGTTCTTGTAGATCTCAAAATTCCAAAGTCCTCAGCCTTTCATAACATATGCTTTTGCCGTCAGTTTTTACTTTTATGGTAGGTCCTGTATTGCAACTAGACCTCCTTTCACATTTTTCTCACATTCATTTGGGAAAAAAAATAAAGAATAAAGGTTAATATGTTTTTCGAATATATATGCAAAAATTATTATATCGCACAAGACCTGACTGATGATTGGCCTATTTTTGTCACACAATCTGTGGCCCAGCAAAAATCTTCTGAGCTGATGATCACTGCTCTAGACTGGCTGGCTTATCATCTTTTTGCGCAAACTCTAGCTCTCGTGCCAATCTATCCAATGTCAATTTAAGACCAATTATATAGGTTTCTTGTCGAAATTCAGATGTAACTCCTGCTAGAAATACCTTTTTAATATTTTTATTCGCATCTTCTATAATATCATCTAAACTTTCCATATTGTGCAAATTGCTAGTAAACCCCATACTTTGTTATAGGAGCCTATATCTTTAATCGAAAAAAAAATAATATTATTAATAAGCACCTGACTCCAGATATTCACATAGCTCGGGATAATCAAACATGCCTACAACCCTGTCTTATTTTATATTTTTAACAGTGATAAAACCAGTTACCCAATCATATGTATGCACATATTTACTCAGATTACATAGTAGCATAAACTGTGTGGGGTTAGTAGTAAACTTACCTGTAGTCTTGCGCCTATTATTTCTTGATTTTTTAGCCATTACCAGATAACTTTTCTGATTCAATTAATCTGATTAGCAGATATGTCTTGATAATCATTTTGCGTAAATTCTAACTCTCGTGCTAATCTGTCCAATGTTAATTGAAGTCCAATTATATAAACTTTTTGCCAATCTTCAGCTCTAACTCCATTTTGGAATACTGTTTTAATATTCTTTTTTACATCATCTATAATATCTTCTAAACCACTATACCAGTTGTCATTTTAGTGATTTATTCTATAACTGAATATTTATCATATCAGAAAAAAATCTAATAATTATGTAAATACTATAATTTGCCTTCTCCGACTTGCATATATGCACCATATCACTAGTCTAGTCATGGCAGTGACTTAGACTCAATGATTTCAGTTGCAAAGTAGACAAGTGAGGCATACATTCCCTTTGATATGCCCCAAACTATTGTAGATTCGATCTACTGTCCACTGAGATATATCTCCTGGCCGATCCCATTCAAATTTCATTTCTATGAGACATAATGCGCATCTGTCTTCTTGAATACGTTTTAATGTGAGGATATAGTCAACTGTTAGATCGAATTTACAGCCTTTTTCCTTGTCCTGACCAATATATCCGACAAGTTTTTCCTGAATAGATGGTCTCAATTCATGCTCTAACCATCTATTCTTTTTTGCTTCCTCAATCTCTTGGGCAATTTCAGGAAGTAATGGAAGCGTCTCAACCCGAATGAGTTGGCTTAAATATTTCACACGACCAACTGCTAAATATATTAGGTTATCCCAAGCTAGGTTTTCATCAATGACCCAAACACGCTGTGGAGTTTTGAGAGTCATTCCTTGACTAGTGTGAATTGTCATAGCATATCCAAGCTCCCAATCTATGACTTTTTTGTCTGCTAACACATCTTTTAAGAATTTGTCAGGGAGTGTATTTAAGGACAAGTGTATTATATCATTTTTCACTAGTTCTCTTTTTTCGGATAAGCCAGGGATCGGAACAAGACAATTTTGTTTGCGTCTATCTTTTGGCCTATAGATTAATGGGATCGGCACATTGGAATATTTTTCTCGATG